ATCTCTCTAAAAATATTGAATAAACACAAAGAGTTGAAAGAAACAATATCGATAGTGAACATCCTACTCAAGACCCAAGCTAGTGTCAATATCACTTCAGAGTGAAATGCAATAACCGCGAATATTACATAGTCACAAAAGTTGAGAGTTGGGAATATAATAGTACAGAGTAGATTTCACACTATAAACAGTGTCAGATCCACCGGAAAAATGATTAATCACTCTACGTGGCTCCTGTATCGTTCAAATTAACTATGTGTTTGTGTTGTTATCACCCATTCATCATTTTAGATATAAAATATTAGTTGAGTAAACTACTTACTGATGAGATTTCATCCAAGTTAGATTAATTTATGTTTCACATATCACAGTATTTATAGGACTCCGACAGACGTTCAGCGGCGAAATGTAGGCAGTCTCCGCAGCGCCACCTGCATGCAGTGACGCGAATTGACGGATGAGAAGTAGTGTGACCTTATAATATTTTTGATATTTTGAGAAATGACCACTAGACTAATTAATTAATATATCTGTTTCATGAATCGTTCGAAATAATAATTCGAAACGGGAAAATAACTGAGATAGGTATACAGAAATATCTACGTTAGTAAAAATAGTAAAAATGTTACTCGAAGCTAATATCATGATCATTATATCATCGACACTGTAATCATTATCACTTATTTCTTTATCCAGTAGATCATTCAACATCCAACTGTTTTATAGAGTAGTTATTGCTAATATTGTGAGCGCTGTCATCAGCTGTGTACTGTACGAGAACTTTGTAATAATTGTTTTATGATAGAATGCCTCAATAGTGGAGAGCGGATTGCTTTCAATAACAATAGAACGTGGGAAAGTTTTAAAGAGCGAAAATTTCGCTATAATCGACACCAAGCATTGTGTGTGAGAAATGTGGGAAATTCTTGAATAAAACTAACCTATACCACCATATGAGGAATGCCCATAGAGTGGACGCCACCAATTCGAATAACCTAGCTGATTAGCGGATGGCAGTTAATGGATTCAGAAGTCTTCAGATCACACCTATGGAAGTATTCGGAGGTATTCGGAGGTCTTCAGATCACGCCTTCAGATGTCTTCAGATGTCTTCAGAGGTATTCAGAGGTCTTCAGATCACGCCTTCAGAGGTATTCAGATGTCTTCAGAGGTATTCAGATGTCTTCAGAGGTATTCAAGAGTCTTCAGTTGTATATCAGACACCATAGCGTTCACATCATGGAGTCTAAGCCACATTCATCAGAGCAAGCATTAGATAAATATCACTGTGCAGATTATGATAATGCTTATGGACCGAAATATCTTGACGGCAGATGGACACTAGGACAAAAGAATCTACGCTTTGAGGACCAATACATAGGCTTAGATAATGTCGATTTTAAAAGTACTCTGGGTCTTTTGGAATTATTATTTTCCAAGAACCCTCGAAATTACACGCCTCTGGATCACCAGATGTATAAACAGATGCTAGAAATCAGCTCTATTCATAGAGATCAATTAGGGCGATTACGAGGACAAGCTGATAAGGAGAAATTCGATAAAATTATCAGACCAAGCCTAAACGTCCAAAGTCGAGCGTGGAGCCTGAAGCCAGTATTGGAAATGAAGAGTACAATATTTTAGATGAATGGACAGATCCGAATATATTGGTGGATAGACTGAGATATTTAATGGAATCAGATAAGAACAACAACGAGATCGCCTTTATTCTTACTGAACTTGAAAATGTTGGTATAATATCTAAAAATAAATGATGTCAAAATTATCCGTTTTTTATTCAACACCTGGTAGGCGAGTAGACTCACAATGACTACTCAACTTGGCATACAGAAATATATATTTAAAAACCCTGTATAATGACTGGTAGGTAGTGTGATGAAATCATAAACTTTTTTATATCTATTATGGATATCTGAACATTATTGCGCCATTGATGTTACCATTATTTATACATTCACATTTTTCGAATAATTTTTCTGATATAAAATCGGAGCAAAAATCTGAAAATTGATTATGCTTCTTGATGTGCAGTATTAGTTTGTATGCAAATCCACTTCTTCGATGCTCCATCATGGTATAGATAAAATTAAGAGTTTTATGTCTAGTATGTTCGCCTAATGGGTCAAAGTTCATATGAGACATTGACGCAAAAGATGTAGGAAACCCATCAACATAAAGTATATAACACGATATATCCAGATCTTCGTACCACTGATTCATCAAGACATATCTGTCATAACGTTATCATCTTTCACATTCAACTGCCCAATTTTCTTCACAGCTCTATAATCTTGAAAGAATAGTATTTTCTGTCTTTGGTCGACTGACATTTTTACGATGATAATCACTCTAAGAGTCACAAAAATGAAAAACGAGGTAGCGACATTTCTTGCTGACTTGTGTGGGATGTTGAATATTAGGTCTAGGACTAAAAACAGCTCTTTTTTCAGCTTGAACAGCTGTTTTTTGTGTGATTTCGATAGTTCCTTGTATCTCATATCTCATATGGAACGATAAGAGAATCAATAATAATAGGATTATTTCCTTTATTGTCCGTTAATTTTAGTCTATAACTCAGCTGATTTAATCATCATTCTAGGCTTTGAAAGAATATGATTTTCTGTATACGCTAAATATAGAACAACCAAGCAGATAACGGCATCCTGTTTCAACGCTCCAACTTGAACAGCTGTTTGATTTCGGTAGTTTGTTGATTTCGTGAAAAAACGATAAGAGAACCCGTGTATGTCCTCTATACTCACTCGTTAATTGTTGTCTATAGCTCATCTATTGTAAGAGTATCAGATTTTGAAATATTCGGCGGATTCAGTGGCAGATAAAATGCATAACAATGCTTGAATATAATATGCACACACGAAGACTATTTTTCATATAAGCCTCTCAATGAATAGGGTGAATCAGTCAGTAGTCGGACACTTGTCCAATATCCTTTGCCTATGTTTGATAGACAGTCAGGCACATCACTAAATTGGCGCGCTATTATAATTTCAATAGTACCAACTGCTCAATCGAAAAATGTCTAGAATGGCGTGGAAACATTGGTGCTACAGATTTCTCTTCATTTTGAGGTAATATGTTATTTCCAGGCAAACTTGAGACAACTATGTTTCTATTTCAATAGAGTGATCCTTCATCAGGCTATTACTTCAAGGAATGATCTTTGATTCTCGTTTTCGCGATAGACGGTGTTGAAGTTGATCTGTAGGTTTTATTACTGGTTAAAATCGAGAATGATTCATCTAATAGACATCGTCAGGGTGGGAGTTTGAATTTTAAGTTATTCTTTAGTTATTCCTTGAAAGACACTTACCTGAAATGTACGTTGGTCAATCGTTAGCAAATTATACCAATCGGCAACCTGCAGGGCTGCTATAATGTAGCTTGATACAGCGAAACTGAAATAATTTGTAAATAAAAGTGATATTCGTAGAATAAAATTGTAGACCTAAAAGGCCAAAACCCGAAGGATACGGGATGGAATTTATCGTGCAGAGTGAATGAAAGCACTCAAGTATGCTGCATAAGTTAAATCATACGAGCATTCTGTGTGAGTTATATACTACGCGTTTTCTATGACTACAGCAAAACTCTTCAGTTTGCTGATTTTCTCACAATTAATAGTCTGTCATTTCATGAAATTCGATATTGGAACATGGTGTATGTTTATGTGGCAATTTTTGTAGGAAAATAAATTTATATCATACTTAACACCTAAAATTCAAAATGTGACCTATAGCGACATCTTAACTCGAACATAGGTCACTCTGTATATTTTAATTTTTGTGTAGATAGGGATGATACAATATTCTAGAGATTGCTATACTTTACGATAGCGTTTTCTATTATTTATGCATATAGTATCCATACAGGTTGGAGATTGAAAAATTAATAAATATATATAAAATGTGCCAGTTCTGCTCGTTTGCGGTATTTGGCGACTTTAGATGATGAACTATCGCTATTTTTTCTGGTTTTACAATATTATTTATAAAACATATCTAACCGCCAGTTCCGTCTTCATGTTTTTTTCACATGGTTTTGCAAAAACATATCTAACCACCAATTCCGTCTTCAAGTTTATAAAAATAGCGGATGGATGCTGCAAATAGTCATTAGCTGTCCAGAAGAGAACTCTAAATGGGTAAGTACATATTTTGCTTGTGGCTTAGAATAATTGTTCTTTTTTTCACCAAATGATATTAAAAGTGGCTTCTCAATGATAGTTAGAATGAGTTTCTTGCTTTAAGTGATATTTTGAATGAAATTGGTTCTTCAACTTTGTTGAAAACTTTGCGGAAAACGAATTTGGGTAAATTACCTGAGTAGAAAAGAAGATTGAGCTAGCTCGACTGCTAGCTGTAGTATCTTGCTCATTTTTCCTCCCTATAGGGATTTTGAAAAATATGCCTGGCATTTTATGTTGCTCGTTTCTTAGTAGTATTCTAAAAATTTATATTATACATGCTCGAAATATTTCGTCAGTCTTGATGAAGGTAAATGGTTCTTGAAGCTGCTGTAATAGCTGAAAGCGAACCGATCTGAGGTTGTTTTACAAACATACTGAGACCCTATAGCTTTCAAAGTTGTTAAATACTATGTGAAAATAATCTCTGATTGCGAATGAAGTTTGAATTTGCACTTATATTCTGAATATATTCTTACTGACTTATATTCTGAATGTAATACATACCTCAACTTTCTGTCGCATACGCTAAGGAATCTCAAATTGATTAGGATGCAATAAATCGAAGTAATTTTAGGCGAAAAATCAAAGATTTCGAATTTTTCCATTCATTTTGATCCCTCTAAAATTCTGAATCCAGTACATTGGGAAACCAATCATTGAGTGGGTGATAGGATTTTTTAAAATCGACTGAACTTCAACCCACAGTATCTCCAAACATCAATCATTTGGTAGTCATTTTAATTTTCATTACGTTACTAGAATGTGAGGACCGAGTTGATAGAACTGCTGAATTATTCATATCATTTAGCCTTTTTGGTATATTATTTTATAACAACTAATGCTCATTGATTATGAAAATATAATTTGATATTTAGGCTGGAATAATATAGCTGAATCATTTCTAGATCACAGATGAATGTAATGTTTAATATTTCTCTGTGATTGATCCTACATTATATATCAAATTGATAATAGCTTAATAAAATATGCGTGTTATTTTCAGACCACATTGAAGCCGAAATATGGACCATGGTAAGGAGCTGGCTGCCTCCCCACCTACGTGTGAGTATACTATCCTTATGTAATATTTTTAATTCTGGAAGAATAATGCCATTACATCGAAATTTTAGGAATTAGAAATGTTTAGCTCTAACGTAGAATCATGTTTCAATATTGATCTCCTAACTAAATTTAAGTCAAATATGTATGCGTTTACAGAAATGTTATTGTTGGATTAGTCTTCCACGAGTGACGTCGGGTCTGTGTGAAGTATGTAAATTCATTACGTTTACAGAAATGTTATAGTCTGATTATCCTTCCACTAGTAGCTGTGAGATCCGGACGTTTTGATTTTTCACCTTATGGTGTTTCAGTTATTTTTTTGGTTCATACATATCATCTGTTGATTCTTCCTTATTTTTTGTTCGCTTTTCAATAATTTTGATGAAAATATTCGTTGTATTATGTTGATGTGCTGAATATTTATACTTATTTTAAAAACACCTTGTATTTTCTTCAGGGGACCAGGAAAAATGTATTGCTGCAAAGAGATATTTGTGTATAGTACGTAGGGATTATTTGTTCCATATGATGATATGATATCGCATAGTTTCCTAACGTGTTACGTACAATATTCTTCTAATTTCAATGAAAAATCCGCTTGAAGTGGAATAATAACTAGTTCTGTGTGCTGATTATGCTTGAAATGTAGTTGGCAAGTTGACTTCGCCTGTCAAACAATAATTCTAAATAAATCGAATTCATGAAATAGATTTGTTTTGAAACTATCGCTAGTGGAAATGTATGATTCAAGTTCAGATTTCGAGAAAACGGCAACACATACATTCATTTTTTTCATCTATCCATATTTTTATTACGTAACGGGGTTATAAAATATTTCGCTTTACGTAACTAGTTATGTGAAGTCAAAATAAAAAAAAATAACGAATTTGCGCGCTGCGATAATATAAAATTAATAGAGTTTTTCTTTCCAGACCAAGCCGATTGCTATCATGTTTGGGGCTGGAGGTAGTGGGGTGGTGCCCCCTGATATGGCGTATATAGGCTCCGCGGGCCCATACCGTATATGGGCCCACATGGCTCAGACTGGGACGGTGGTGTGGGCCATATGATGAATAAAATTTAAAAAATATTGATGTGTCTTTTCCTTCCTTCCCAGATTTAGCTAGATGTTAGTTTGATCACAGAAACATATACTAAAGCCTGAATCATTGCAAGTAAAAAATTCATTCGTAAGTAACCCTAGTTCTCACATTATGAATCAATGGAGTAGTATGGATCAGACAAAATTTTTTAAAAAATATATAAAATACTCAACTTACCGGTGCTTCTACACTAATACACTTCTTTTTTTCAGTCTGCTGTACGAAATTATCCTTTTATATGTTAGTCGTTTCCTGTTTTTTCATAAATCCAACCACTTCTTAGCCTCAAATCAGCCTTCAGAAATGTGTTTTTCCCCAAACGTCATTGAAAAATAAAGCCAGTAGAGTTTTCCCATATTTTATGTTCGATAACAAATTCGTGTTTTTCTTGAAACCTATAATCATGAAACAGGAAGCTCTTATCATAATGGTAATTCAACTTTATTTTCAGTCTTGAATGTCGACGCGTATGTGAGGTTCCTCTATTGCGCTGTTTTTCTAAAAATCATGTGTATGAATTTGTGCAGTGGTGTTCGCTTTCCCAAAGAATCGTGTATAAAAATAGGGTGAAGCGATTTTTGTTTTATTTAAATTGTTTTTTCACTATTCCCATTCATTATTCGGATTCTCATCGAGGTTATATGAAGAAAAAAGGTAAAAGTGCTTCATGCTTTATATTTTTTCCTATATTGATACCAAGTCATGTAGAACACGTCTTCTATATAGATACAAGTAATCAAAAAGTTGCGTATGAAATCTCGCATCGCGAGTTTTGGCTGAAAGGCCCACCAACTTGAGATACCAATCATTTGCTATGAAATAAATGTGAGCACCTTGCTGATAGAGTGCTAGAGTATCTCTGCGCAGGCTGTTTTTTCAATATTCCCTTAGCCGCTAGCGGCACTAGCCCGTTTTTGGGTTGAGTCAGGCTCAGGAATTGTTAAATAATATTTGGATTTGCATTGAGCGCACTTTGATACAAGATTTCGCGACACCCCGTATTTTGCTATCTAGCGAGTAGTCTGATAACATCTATCAATCTAATATGTTTGCTGGGCTCACCTTAACTGCTATTCAACGCCCTATTATGCTGTCGTTTGTCCTACGTGAGCTGTCATCTATCAAATTTTTTGTTGGTAAAGTGGAATGGAGTGCCCTTTTTTGCAGCTCAAACACCTGATTTTTGTTCAGTGCATTATGGAGCACTCTGTATGTTGTTCCGTGAAGAGCGACATCATATATTTTTATTGCAGTTCAACTCTGTATTATTTTTTCGATCCATGAATTATGAACCGCTCTATATATTTTTTACTATTCAACTCAAACATGATTATTTCAGCCTATGGATTATAAGCTGCCCCGTATATTTTGCAGTTCACTCCGTATTTTTTTTTTGTTCCATGAATTATGAGTCGTCCTGTATATTTTATGGTAGTTCAACTTGAATGCCCCTGTATGGCTTTTATTCCACATAAATGCGCGACGTTATCTCTAGAACGAATCTCTCGCGTTGCTCGCTGACAACGAGAAATTTCATCCACTGAATAAAAAACGAGAAAAATTCAAGTATGCCACAATTCAAATGATTGTCATGTCATGATTGTACCTTCCGCACAGAGGCGTCGCCAGAATTGCTACAGTGCTGAAAAGGGGTATAACCCCCAAATTTTATTTTGATATCTAGATTTTATTTGTGTCATTCGATAGTATACACTATTTAAATATTTGCATTTACTCCAATGCCGCCCAGTATATAGGGAAGTTAGATAATGGATATTTGTCTATGAGTCAAGGCCTATTATTTCTCCAATATTCCTTTACATTCCTCCGAGAGGTCGAGGTGGGGCTTCATACCTATAGTAACCGTCTATAACCTTCAACGTCCCTAAGCCTTATAAGTTTCAATTGAGCGTTATATTATGCTACATGCTAACTGAGCGCCCCGTAGAGACATACGTTATACGTATATTAAACGTAATCTAGCGAGTCATTTGTCATACGTTAATATGTTCTTGCCTCCCTGTATATATAGTTTTATTACTATCCAAAAACCCTGTATAATGATCGAAATCGTCAACTAGCGTCATCTGTCACACTTCTGCTGAGTCCACCTTTAACTTCTTGCCACGAGTGCCCTATATAAGTTTGTATCAAACACCCTGTATATAGAACGGATTCTGAGTACTCTATCATACGTATGTTCGCTGAGTCTACCCGTGAGACGCCCTATTTCTTATCGCTATTGCTTACTCAGACACCCTGTATATATAATGTTATTGAACGAGTTTTGATAAAGAGTTGTTCGACATATTTCATGGCTAATGAAATCTGACCTCAGCATCAATTATTTCCATCACATACCTAACTGAACGTTTCCCCACACATTTCAAATGATATCTCATAAACTTTGAGACTTTGCATATAAACGAACCATTATTTTCGAAGTGCCCGTTAAAAATTCTTCTCTTAGAGTACCCGCACCCTCTTCAACCCTCTGATACCCCAAAGTGGGGTAGTATTACTGCGGATCACCCTGTATATATTTCTTTCAACTCAAACACCCTATATATTAGATTGAATCATTAGCTAGCGGGTAGCCTATATGCTGGTAGTCTACTCGTCGAGGAGGTATAACGCCTTTTGGGTTCACTCTATTTTTTTTTCCCCAACTATTAGCCAACTCATACACCCTGTATATAGCCATTATTGGGTGAAAAATGTAATGAAATGCGCACCGTTATCTCTGGAACGGATCTCTCGCTTTGCTCGCCGTCGCAGCCGGATGACCTTGAAGTGGACAAAAATGACCAGAATGAACCTTAACTTTTCTTATGGAGATTTACATGGGAAAAGTGGTCGAAATGGTCTGGTTCTCTTGTAGCTGAGTTACTCTCAATGACTCTTCGGAGCAAACTGACGTCTGACTGGTGCGACATCAACACCTAGAACTAGGCGATATTTCGAACAATTTCGCTGAGTGGGAGGTGTTCTATGATTTGGTCGTGAACGATGATGCAATAGGCTTTGTTGTGGGGAGGGAAACCTGTCGTCGCTCCAATGTCCAACTTTATGACAACTGTAGACGACTTCAGACCCAGATGGCGCCTCGAGCAATCGATGACAAACATTGGTCGGGTTTTGAATTCATTGAAATTCATTAGAGAGCGTTTTTGTTGACAGTTATGGTAGCTCTTGTTGAACTCTGTAAAGTTAAAATGATCGTCGGCATATTGGTCTCTGGAAAAGTCCAATAGCATTCTTCCTTGCGGATAATAGTCGCTATTCAGAGTCAATCGTATGGATTTGATCTGTTGGCATTATCGAACAAGGTAACGTCTTCATGCCAATCATCGGCTTTTTTTGTTTGGAAAAACTATGACATATCTGGGACTCTCTAATGCAGAACACGTCTTGACCGACCAAATTTCTATTGTGGATCCTTGTGTGAGTGCTGGTAGCTCGTGTAATTCCCATTGAAGAAACGGTATCATCATAGACTCGTCTGCCTTGATACGTTCCAGCCTGCTATGGCTAGATGGCGTGAGTCTTCAGGTGTGTAACACAAGTATCCTCGCACAGTACTCGTTATTCCAGGATATCTGACAGTGTCCAATTATTTATTGCACAATTCATAGGTAAAGGAATCAAAGAGATAGGCTCCAGCATTGTGAGTTAATGTACCAATAACACCTCCGGTCACAACCAATTTACCCTTTATGGTAATGATGCCTTCAAACATGGCCAACCACGAATCTGCTTGATTGACTGTAATATCGATGACATCATTGTTTTCGAATGATTTCACATATGGGCAATAGGTGCGCCACTCCACTTTAGTGATGCTTTCATCGAATCTGGGTTTGCGGAAAACGTCGAACACGGGGGCTGACAACATTG